TTAACAGATGCTGCAAACCATGATTGCAGCGGCTGTAGATAAAACTCTTCATTACTGTCACACCATGTGGAATGTTATTTACCAAGCAACTGACTTCACCATACGATAGATGTTCTACTTGGTTTTTTTTGGTTCTATAAACAGCTTTCAACAAATACATCAATTATTCCTCGTCTTCCGAATGCACACCACATTCTGCTTAGGAATGCACTTTTTAAAATGTTGTTCCAAGTCTTCCAGCCTCAACTGGGAATAAATCCTCCTCAATATTCCCCTCCTGGAAATGATGACAACCTCCTCCTCCCTTTGCCTCCCCAATGTGTTTATTTGGATCTTTTCTGGGAGAGGACAGAAGAACAGTCCTGAGCAGGCTGTAATTCACTTTAATATTCCTAATAATGGAGACAAAAAGGCAAGCTGGGAAAGAGAGAAGAGGTCCAACAATCTGCTGATATAGGATTTTTATATATTGGTATCAAAACAAAAACCTTTTGCCATTCTTTAGTGTAATGACTTTTTTCCCTTCTCTTAAATAGGCAGAGATTTGGCAAAGCACGTTAGAGAAAATAATCTCAGAATGTACTTAAACTCGTGACTCACCTCATGCAGGTGAAGTCATTCAAATTCAGTAATCATCTGCTTAGATAATGGTAGGACCAGGGAATTGAAAATAGATGCATCATGGCAAGAGTGAGGTATAGTACCTGTTTTGTAATGAACAAATTCACCATTATTTGGCAATAATTAGGCCTGATAAAAAGAAAGGCAGCTTTACAGACTGGGTGGGGGCATATAATGCAGGTTTCTTAGACCCAAGTATTTAAAGAAGGCAATAAAAGAAAAGAAAGTGCTGAGAAGTTCCTTAGTCAAATTGCTCCATGTAAGTTGGCAAAGGTGGAAGGTGATTTCCTTGGAAGAAAAACCCAAACTGCCTGCATTTCCCTTCAAAGAGCAGGGCTGTGGAGAGATGGTTGGCCAGCAGGCACTGGGGGCTTCTCTTAACTTCTTACTGGGAGAAAAATGCGACCCAGATGAAGGGGCATTATTTCCAGAGCTTAAACAGATCTCAGAACTCGACAAATCCTTTTTCAATCAAAAAACCACCAGAAAGTCACTTATAGCAAAGAAAGCGTTTATCTGATAGAAGAAAATCCTTCATATAAAAGAACTTTAAGCTTTTTGTAAGGATTTCTAGACCTGGACCATTACTGTAAAGCTCCCTTTCAGCTGGACTTGAGCTTGTTTCTATTTGATTTTATTCGGCTCTTTGGTGGCATTTGGGATTTTGAAAATAGTTTTAAAACAAAATAGAAAAGGCAGAAACTTTAGGAGCAGAGTCTTCAAGATGTCAGAATCTGTCTGGAAGAATTTAAGGAACTCTTGGATACATTCAGAAGATATTAAAAAATAATATATTAAGAATGAAAGGGTAAGAGAATCTTCATCTTCTGTCCAGAACTGTTTCTTCTCTTGAGTGTCTACATCAAAAGCAACACATCCACGACTCTACTGCATGCAGTGTTATTTCTATAACACGTTAGCTGGTTTCTTGCTGTTTCAAGAGTCTGAGAAGAAAAATACCATCGCTCTTACTTTAACTAAAAAATTTCATTTAAAATATAAAACTTACTGATGGGTTAACTCAGAAAAATTAAGTCACAGCAAAACTGCTGTCACCACAAATTGAAATTTATTCTGGTTTCTGCTACAAGTGAGATCCCTGAATATAGATTTTAGTGTGAAAACATGCTTTCCTCTGAACTTCCTACTTGACTGCAATGCATGCATTTTGGGCATCAATATATGTCTCATTTTTAAGTGTTCAGCGGAGCTGAGAAACGTCCAAAGACAGGAATTCCAAGCATGCAGGAACTGAGCTCTGACTAATGGTAACACCGCTTTAAAGGCATTCAGAGAATATTAGATAACCTGCTATTAATTTTCTATTCTTTCTCCTTCCCCACTCTCTATTTTCAGGTGCCTGCAGCCATTCAGTTAAAGACTCTTTGGCCCTCCTTCCTTTCCCAAACGATGAGATGGATGGGCTTATGTTACGGAAGAGGAGACCTGGATGTGAGCAATGATTTATTTTTCCCTTGGATGGCTTGTGCAGCATTCTTTCCATTAACTCAACAGGAATGACCAGATGCATAACAGCTTTTTGACACAGGGTGGGATTCATCTCATCTACCCTTACCATCCCACAGCAGAAATGGAGAGCGGTTCGTTCCCATGGGCTCCAGGTGAGCAAAATCCAGTGAGAAAAACTTAATTTTCAAAGAAACTCACTCACTGATTTCAGACATCTATCACAAATGACTGCGCACTGCCAGGGAGGGACTCGATATATCTCATCTGCAGACAGCTGAGGCAGGGGGAGAGATTTAAATCCTGCTTGAAACCTGCAAATGGGCAGCTCAAGAAAATGTGAGGAAGAAGTAGAAAGAAATTCCCAAACCGCTTTGATGGCAGACTGGAGTATCCCAGAGCTGCTGATTGTGTCTAGGCACTTGTAGGCACCCCAAGGCACGTAAAAGCTGCTGAAAGTCACACTAATACAGGCAATGACCACTATTAAGCCCAACTCTTAATGAACCAATTTTCACACTGTGGTGACAATCCATAATGTAAGCAGCATTTGGTAACAAAGCAGATCCTATGCATAGTCAGTGCTTTGTAATCCTAATAGGTCCAAGACAATGGACTCATGTCCACTATATGTCCAAGCTTATTGAAAAGGAGGGTAATTAACATTTCCTTTTTTCAAAATAATCAAAAGAAAAAAAAATAATCAAATAAGATCAGGAAACACTTCAATTTTTTTCCTTAAAGCTCGTTGTTGTTATCACTACTATTTCAAGCTTGGAGGATGATGTTTTGTCCACCAAGATGCTTCCCTTGCCCAAAACCCTCTCACTTAGCCTGAGCTTTCCCTGATAGCTCATCCATGCTCTGTAGGCTCCTCAGCTAGCCCCATGGCCAGCCTGAACAACTTACTTCACTTGCAGGTAGCCAGATAGGTGGGTCCAACACCATCCTTAGGGTTCTCTGACTTCAGCTCCCCCAACTCATAAGTTGGTTTATTTTCATCTCTTTCTAAGCTTTTCTGAATTAAAATAATGTGATTTTTAATCCTCTCTTTCCTGGTGTTTGCTCAGTATCAGTACAACGGAGCCCTCAGATGCTGCCTGCGCTAGCCTGATAATTCAAGTGAAACAGAGCATTACAGAGCAACGAGCTTCTTTTTTCCACATTTCAACTAAGCAGTATTTTAGCATGATAGTAAAAACAGACACACAGTAAGGGTACGAAAACAAGAAGAAAAACCAGACGTAGAAAAACAAGCTCAATAAATTCTTCACCGACTACAAAAGCTCAAAGAATTGACTTCTAACATAAGCATGTTATTGTCAACAGCGGCATCTCTATTAGGCTTGTTCCCTTTCCTAAACATTCCTATTACTGTCATTTCTCAGCTTTGTCATATTCACTGCCTTGACAGCACAGACACTACGCTGCACAATCTGTCAGAAGGGCCAGCTGATTTCCTCCGTCTTCTGACACTTGCAGGTCTTTAATATCAGGCTGTCAGAACGCCAAAGAGAAAGGCGTGTGCTTCCTCCTCCGGTGCTGCTCCCGTGACTGCCAGCACACACACTTTAATCATTAGCCTTACACTGCTATGAAATTCTGGCTTTGGTGCCCTTGGAGCCCCGTGCTAGAAAACACTGCTGGCAGAAACCTAGGACAGAGTTGCATTAGTCAAATGAATTCTTTATGTTCCACAAAGTTCATCTAGTTTACTTTCTGAAACTTTCTTTTCGTGACTCTTTTTGAGAGGGGAGCTGCAGTAGGTGTAAGCCTCATTCAGTGACAGGTACAGGTGAAATGGTGTGTGCTTAACATAGATCTCTCTGCACCTGGACCATTTGTCTGTAGGTCTCCTGTGATGGGCAGCACTGCTTTCTGTAGTGTGCAGCTTCTTTGATCCAATATGAAACCAGGAGAGAAGAACAGGAGCCCAAACCAGGCAATAGCTCACTGCAAAGGTAGAAATTCTGCATTCTCCATCCCTGGAGGCATTCAAGACCAGGCTGGATGTGGCTCTGGGCAGCCTGGTCTGCTGGTTGGTGAGCCTGCACATAGCAGGGGAGTTAAACTCCATGATCATCGTGGTCCTTTCCAACCCAGGCCATTTTATGATTCTCTGACTCTATGATTTCTTGCTCTGGTCCCCCCAGTGCAGTAGAATGAACTATTGCCAAGACCCATAACTACACTGGGTTAGGTCTTTTTGAATGTGTTCTGTTACAGCAACACACTTTGCATACAAAAGAAATAAAAAAGCTGGTAAAGGAGATTTGGGGCCCACAGACACCATACAATCAGCAGGTCTGCAAGAAACAGGAGCATGCTCTATGCAAAGCACCTACCTGCAGGTGGCCTGAATCAGTAAGCTGGTAGAAACCATTGCTAGATACTTGTCTAGCTTCTCAGGGTCTGTATTGATGCCCGGAGGGTTCTGATTCAGGAGAAGAATGAAAAACAATCTAAGCCTTTAGCACTCAGACTGCCAAGGGACATTTGCTGCAGGAACCTACTAACTTTTATAGGCACAAATCCACCAGCAAGTGCAGCAGTGAGACATGGCATCAAAGCAGAGGACAGGCTTGGAGACAGCTCCAGCAAGAGCCTTGCTCCCTGCAGTACCCAGCACTTCATTTTTCTATGCACTGCTCCCTGACTGCGATGCAAAGCGATAGCCCTGCTTTGTGCAGCTTATCTCCTCGGGCTGGTTGGGGCAGGATTCTTACAGCCTGCCCAGCAGAGCCTCGAGGCATTATTAAAAAAGTCATAAATAATAACAAAGGCGTTTACTGCTGTGAGTCAACAGATCTCCTGGCTGCATGTAAGCACGAAGTATCGACTGAGCCATCGGAGATAACACACGGTGTCACTACCCTGGGCTGCCCCGCTCCTCCTGCTGCCAAAGTGCTCACCTCTCGTCCAGTGATGGCTAAATAATGGAAGGAAACATGGCCTGGCTGCTGCTGCTTGCAGTAATGAATGCTGCTGTCGAGTGTAACAAATGTCGTGTGTCACGGAGGCATTTATGACACTAATACTGGAGCACTGGATAGCATCCAATAACAATCTATGGTGAGGTAATGGGACGTAGCTGCAGAGTGTTGAAAAGGGATCCGAAGCTAATACAGTTCTTACAGTATCAGGTATATGCAAAATATCCTGTAATACCACGCTCAAGTACTAGGAAAAAAAAAACAAAAAAAACCCAAAAATGCACACTGTATGATACATTACAGATTTTGCAGATTTATAGTGCTTCAGATGCAGCTCCCTGCCAAGGTTTTAAAAAGGGTTCCCACTTCTGATAGTTTTATGGCATATCTTATCCATTAAACGCTAGAAATATAGGAATTGTGTTTCATTTGTTGCCATGGATCGCCACATTACTGCTTTTATTCAAAACCCACATATTTCTAATTCTTTATGGAATATTCATCCATAGCCTGAGAAGCCACCAGAGGTCTGAATGAATTTGGCTCAGCCCCTGCAGTCCAAATGATCAAGTAACAGCTTCAAAAAGAAACTCATGCAAGAATATCCTGAGCTGGGAGGGTTGCAGCCCAGGGTAGGGTTGGCCCTTCTGGCTCTGGGGGAATACAGCTGACACCAAAACACGTGCCATCACCAGAGCCTCCAGATCCCAATCCTGGAGCAGCTCTCTTGCCACCCATTCCCTTGTCTGTACATAGAGCCAGGACTGCCCCACAATTCAGCACAGGCTCTTGGTAAACTTCATATCGTTGCAGCTTCCACAGCCATTCCATTGGGCAAGACTAAATCATAGATCAGAGAATCACAGCATGGTTTGAGTTGGAAGGGACCTACAAGACCATCAAGTTCCAACTCCCCTGCTAAAGGCTGGGACACCACACACTAAACAAGGTCACACAAAGCCCTCTGAAAGGCCTCTTTGAAATGGAGTGGCTCAAGATCTCTTCACGTTAGTGATGTCCATAAACATAGCATGCACTCCAGTGCTGCATCCAGAGAACACTTCTACATCAAACAGTGCCTTTACAGAGAAGGTGCTTCATCCTGTACAGATGGGTGTGATTTAAAAGGCTCAGAGAACACCCCAGTGAACAGTGGGACATCCCTGGCAACAAGTGACATCGGCTTGGGCGGCTCCAGCCCTGCCTTGGGCAGCGCACGCTCATGTCACAGTGCCACACAAAGGCATCATGGTGACACCTGAGCATCTCCCACCGGAACCCCCAGGCAGTGCCGGCGCATTCCCCGTGCCAGCAGGCAGGGTGGGCACTGGCTCGCTGCACAAGTGGGCGCACGCTCAGTCTTTGCTTCAAACCAGACAAGAGACACTGAAATGGAGGCATCAGCTGCGGAAACAGCTTCTGCTTCTGATCTGGAGGAGCTGTTGGAGACTCAAGGCTCCACTTCCACTGTCCTGGCAGCTCATGACCCAGCACCAGATGGCCATGCTGCTGCAACACCAACAGTGCAAGTAAAGGACTCACAAATGTTTCCTGATGAAGAGGAAACCAACGGTTTCCCTCTGAGTTCCTCCGAGGAAGGCGCTGGCCAAGCCAGTGTCTTCTCAGGCCTCAGCTTCCCACAGAAACTCTGGGTGCTGGCCGAAAGCGACCAAGTGAAGAGCATCTGGTGGGGCCACGGAGGAAACTGCCTCGTGATCGAGGAGCAACTGTTCATGGTGGAAGTCCTGGCCAAGGAAGCACCTCTGAGAGCATTTGGATGTACAAGCATGAAGAGCTTTGTTTGCCAGCTCAACCGCTACGGCTTCACCAAAGTGCCATGGGGGCTGGAAAGATCTCTGTCCATTCCTGAGCTTCTGGCTGAGGAAGAAGCCACTGCTGTCCAGAGGAAGGTAAGGGCATCCATTGGCCCCATGCAAACCGGCCCTCACAACAAACTCACACAATGTCTGGTCTCAGTCAGCCTGAGCTGTAGGACTGAAGGGACCCATTGGCGTGGTGACACCTGGCTCAGCACCACACGGTTGTTCATTTGCTCTTCCCACCGGCCCTGGCTTTGCACTGCACTGCTTAGTAACAACTGCAGACATTGGAGGGCCCTTAACTGTGTTTAACTCCTAGAACCAGAGCATCATAACAGCACTCTGAAGAATACATCTGCATCTCAGCTGAAATTAAGACACTCATAAGCCTTGTCCATACCCATGTCTGCCCTTAGCCACAAGAAGCCCGAGATCCTCCACCTTGCTGTCCCTCAGCCCCACACTGACACCACCTAACTCTTCTCCTTTACCGTTTGCAGTTACTGCTCTACTCCTGCCCATTCTTCAGGAGAGACGACCCGGGGCTGCTGGAGCACTGCAAGCGAAGAGCGGCCCGGAAGAGAAGAGCCGAGGCTGCCCCCAGCCCTGGCCTGCAGGAGGCTCTGAGTGAGAGCCCCCAGAGGAGCAGCCCGGGTACCCAGCCCATGCCAGAGAGGAGCCTGCAGGCAGCAGATCCACAAGGCACGCAGGCAGCAGCAAACGCGGGGCCCCCGCCGGCCAAGCTCCCCAAGACAGACGGCCCTGCGGCCCCAGCAGGCGCTGCTCACAGCCTGCCAGGCCCTGCCGCAGCACCAGCGCCGCAGCAGTGCCAGGCCCTGCCCTGCTCCACGCTGCCTCCGAGCAGCAACCCGATGCTGGGTGCCGCCTGCGCTCCTCCACCGCACGCCGCTCTGCCCTTCGTGCTCCCCACTTTCACACCTGGCTCTCCTCGGCCCGAGCTCTTCCAGACACCACAGCTGCAGGCTCCCTGGGACGCCCTGCCTTTCCTTACCTTCTGCTTTGCAGAGGCCATCAGGGCAGTGGCTGCAATGATGCCACCGCACTGGCAGCCCCGCGCAGCCCCGCACTGCCCCACGTGCAGCTGCAGCCAGCACCGGGCAGATGCCGGCCATGGGACGGCCCTGTAGTGCTGGACCCACTTACTTGTTCCTAGTTTGTAGCCCATACGTACATCGTTCTGGAAATAGAATTTTTCATTAAGGAACCTTCTTATTTCTCATGTTCCTTTGCTTACCTATTTACCTTCTTATTTCTCATGTTTCTTTGCTTACCTATTTACCTATTTATTTGTTTAATGTTTCTGGAAATAAAACGTTTCAATAAGAAACTTTTGACGTTGTCTTTGTCCTTTTAGTCTGAGTTCAAGCATTTCAACGGCTTTCAAGTTTGGTTCTACACTTCTTGCAAAGTTAGGACACTCAGGATTGATGTTTTAATTGCAGCAATGGCAAGGAGAAAAACAGCCGCCACTTTTATATATAAACTCTAAATCCCAGACATATGTATCCAAAGGTTTATTCATAGTTCTCTCTGCCATTCCTCGGACAGTGCTAATAGGCTTGTTATGGAGCTAGGTTTTTTTCACAAGAGCTTTAGCAACCTACCCAAAGTAGATAGGCCGGCATGCAGAAATGGAATTTCAACTGGCACTTTTGAACAGAACCTTTTCCCAAAATTGTTTTTTTTTTTTTTTTTTTGTAATTGAAAAAATGTCTTTCAAATGGAACCACTTAGCATAGCTCTGAACTGTATCCAGAATGGTCATAAACTGCTGCTCAGAGGCTAAGGGCCAAGATTTTAACTTCAGATATAAACGCATTAGCGGATGCCAATTCTGCTAGCAGTGAAATCTGGCCTAATAAGCTTGATATAAAGATTTTGTTTCTTTATTCCCATTTCTGCTTGCAAAATCAAGGGAAGCACTTAAAGCAGAGCTCAGATGAAATATTCCTTGAGAAAACTCACCGTAAAAACTCTATCCAAGCATGCTCTGCTCTGCTTCAAGCTCAGGAGCGAGCCTTCACCAGATTCCCTTGCACTTCATAGACCACAAACAGAACAAGAGCCTGAGCTTCAGCTCCACTTCCATCCAGCCACACTCCTTCCATGACACTGCCCATGAATTGCCTTGCCTAGCTCTCACCACCTCATTCACACAGTAAGTTTTATGCTGAGAAGTTCGTTTTTCCATGGTTGAATCACTGATGAAATCCGAGGTCCTAAAGACATCAAGTAATTGTAATAAGTAGCATGAGAAAATCATTTCACTCTCACAATCTATGGATTAACGCAGAATTCATGGAATTCTTTTGTTATTATAAATACAGTTTAAATTAATCTTCTGATCTGCTCTATTACAAAGCAATCATGGCAAAAGTGCATTAACTAAGAACCAGTTGCACAATGTGGAGACAAAACCAATCCAGGACGTAACTATATACATTCACATGGAGGTGACTGAATAACTGCTTTTAGTTTGATTTAGAAGCTGAGCTGCAGGAAGTAGAAAGAGCATCTATGATGAAGCTGCCCTATGCACAACATCAGCAAAGCTTCTGTAGGTTTCTCCCAGCCTGGATGCCGATGCTCTTCAGGAAATCTGGAATTATTATTTCAAAGCTTTAAACAGCAGCTTTTAAACTCAAAATCAAATTAGGGAAAAAAGAAAAGACAAGAAGCCTACGGATTGTTGTGGATGCTAAAGGGAGATTCTGCCCCAAAATTAAAATCACATTTTTCCATAGCACCTGAAGACCAGCGAGGCAAATACTTAAGTCAGTGCAAAGTGTTTAGCATTAGATATGAATGAACAAAAGAAATCAATGGTAAACTCAGGATTAGGACCTGAATCTCTTTCTGAGGACATTAAATCAAGCCAGTAAACCTGTGTTTGAAATTCTCTTTGTGCTACACGGATCAGTTCTCATCACACAGACTGCCTCAGTAGGATTCAAGGGGTAAGACTTTAATTCCTCTGAAAGGCACAGGCATATTACAAACAGTTAGCATCATCCATTGCCTGTACATGCCATTTGTAGACCTATTTGTCTTCCACACAACTGCATTTCAATCTTATTTTCATTAGTCATCTGTACTCTATTTGGATTAATTATGAAATGAAAAGGAGTACTGTTATACACAGCAGAGATGAAAAGCAGGCAAATGGAGGAGCGTAATCCACTCCTTGGCTCTCAGAACAAGCTATAAATCCACACCAGCTGCAATTTGCCACCTCTATCTCAGTTCAGCTCCTCCAGCTTTGCTGGTCGGAAAACAGAATGCGGTCCCTCTGGCTTTGCATTCCTTACTGGTATTTCTTCCCTCCCCAAAATTCCATGTCACAGCCTCAAAATCCAGACACGAAACCTGTTGTCATTGTTCTAAAGCTTGGCCTAGGTTTTAAGCATGAGAACAATCAAAAGGAATGAAGTCTGAGGAGAGATTTCTCGATGCATAAGGATTGCCTCTTACACCTCAACTCGCTGTGATTCAATAGGAAAAGAAAGTGTAGAAACCGGAAACAATTTCAGATTAACCTGGTCGTGTCTGGACTGGTAAATTATTTTTAAGTGTGTAATATCAATCAAGAGGCATAAACTGCTTCAATTGCTTCCAGAGAAGAGGAACGTTCTGTCTGGAGGCGTTAAGGATTTGGTTGAGGGAACAAAGACCAACTACAGAGCTGTGTCATAGAGAAAGAAAGGATTGTAGCAACAATCAGATAAGATCTCCCCTGGGGGACACGGCCATGGGGGGGTGTTCCTCCAGCAGTGATGGCTGGTTCCCACTGATTTCCAGAGTGCAATGTGAAATGGAATTGGCTGATTGATAGCAGCCATTAGAAAAGCAGGTAGGCAGCAGCAGGAAGGAGTTAGGAGAAACTGCTTGCCAAGTAAGTGCTGTGATATCCCGAGATGAAGCATGAAGCTGTCTGCCCAAACGTTCTTGCCATCGCTCCACAATTCAGCATTCTCATTTCCTTCCCATTTATTCTGCAATTTCACGATGGAGCAAAAAACAAAGACAATGTTGTGAACGCACCTGATTTGCTTAAAGAACGGAGATTCATTTTTACTCATCTCGTTTGTACGTGCGTGAGCTCTACCAGCTGCATTTATATTGCCTAGTTTGCACAGTCTGGGGCCAACCCAAATGGTTTCAAGTAAGAGTTATTCATTTAGCAGGAGCAGGTAATTCACCGACTACCTGAATTGTTTAGGCAAATTCCACGTAATATCAAAGCTTTTGCTTCTCATATGCTTACACAGTTTATCTATAACTCTCTAAAATGCATGTCTAGCATCATTTACTGCCTACTCACAGCTGGAAATCCACAGCTGGGTTTTAAAATCATGGCATCAGAGGCAAAATACCAACAACATCAAGTCCCAAGAGTCATCTCTCTTTGCTCACACTACTGCCAACCTCCAGATTTCTGATCTTAAGGGCCTGATGGAGAATAAATACATGTTTTGTGTTTCATTTATCTCTACGTTATTAAACCCTGTTTGTGCTTCTCCCAGATATGTGTAACGATGTGAACTTATTTCACGCCACAATGGATCGTGTCATCAAAAGTCATTATTCCCACTGGAAATGCCTTGGCTGCTTGCTTGGCTTGGGAGAATTCGATATTCCTGCCTCAAGATTCTGTGATGGGAATGAAATTCACGGTACGTAGGTAATTACATCTGGTCCTACACTGTGAAGATACAGGCTCTCGGAGCCGAGCATGTCAATACTCTGTGTTTATATTTTTGCAAGATAGGAGAAATTCAATTTTATTCAGCTATCTCCCAGCGACTTTCTGCGACTATGTATCAGCAGAATTTTTTTTCCCTTTTTTTTTTTATTTTAAAGATAAATTGCATGGTGTGCTATCAACGATACTCTGAATTTAAGAATAGAACCTATTAGTCTGTCACTCTTCCAGAGACACAGACCTTGAAGAGTCTGAAGAAGCAGTCTTTATGTGACAGCATAATAAGGATGTCAGGCCCCCTCCCTCCTCCCCAGATCTTCTTGAACGACATTTTCCCCAGCAAGGAAAATTAATACACTTCAGAAGTTATAAAGTGCAGGAAAACGTACATCAGCCATCAGTATGATTTTTCTAAAATGAAGCAGCGTGGAAACCACATTCTTAATCAACTTTCCTAAAACGTCCCTCTGTCTTTTACTAAAAAAAGAAGGAAAAAAAAAAAAAAGAAAAAAAGGAGCAAAAAAGCTTCATAATGCTTTTACCGTGTAGCATTAGATTTGCTAGTGAAGTGTGGAATATTTTTCTTCTTATGTTATTAAATTTCAAAGACACGCTCCTTAGGGCTTGTCTTAAGTCTGTCATCTGCTCTGCTCGTAAAGACTCTTACCACTTGGACAGCTCCATCCCTCCCTGCGGATCCCACCGGCGAATCAATCACAGCGGCCCGGCCTCTGCTCCAGGCAGGCTTTCTCAGCATGCCAGAAAATGTTTGCGTTTCATCACCGCTTAGCTGGCTTTTGTCATTGCTTGAGAGTTGTCTGTATCGCTTAGCGAGGAAGGGACACGCACAAAGGGGTTATCTCCTTCGTGTCAGAGGCAGCGCGCTGCTATTATTGGGAGGCAGCAAAGAGAGCGGCTGGTATCTTGGAAAGGATGGGGGAAATGTTATCAAATTTAACTAGTGCAAAATAATGAGAAAAAGGAACGAAGAAAGTGAAAGTGGAGATGGATACAAACGAGAGGGAAATGATAAAGGATTAAGGAACATGAATCAGGAAACCGTTGCGTCAACGGGAAAAATAAACGTGCTATAAAAACAAATTGAGGCAAAAGGAAACAAAATGAAACGAAGCCAGCAGATTCAACTTAAAAATAAGAAGTAAGAATCATTATTGATGTTCTTCTCCCCGCCAATACTCTCTATGCTGTTTTTGAGCTGTGTGTAGAGAGGGATATGTAAATTAATGCCCAGTTGTTGAAGAAAACTCAAGACAAGCATCAGTTCAGGGAGAAAGGCGCCATTTCTGACTTGCTGATGGTAGGAAGCTTCTCTTGCTGGTATTTCTAAGGACCCCGCAGAAAGCAGAAGACAGATGTCCTTGACAACGACTCAAGTAAACTGAAAGGAGAAATATTCCAAGCACTTCAGTGTTTGTGTCACTGACCTGTCTGTGTTCAAGGAAATAGGAGGACTTACCTAGGAAGCCAACTTCCCCAACAGGGCATAGGGCATGTGATGGAGAATCAGAAACTAGAGGAGAAGTCTGTGAGCAAGCCATGCGACCACTGTTACATCAGGGATTTACCCAGGGCTGAGCCCAGGTTTGGCAAGTGAAGTATGGGAAGGTCTAGAAAGGTGTTAAAATGGCTAAAATCTGAGGTTACAACGTTTCAGAGCCAATACAGCATCAGAACAACTGCCAGCACCAACTA